CAACATGGCAGGCAAGGGGGAGCCAGCCCCCTCCTTCCCGGGGGCCGGCCCCCGCTGCCCACAGAGCCCAGGGGGCGGGGGGAGGTCTGTGGAGGGGCAGGCGAGGCCGCTAAAATGGCCTTGAATCAGCCAGCCACGCTGAGCTGCTGCTGCCTGCTGTGCGTGGAGGTGGCATGGACTTGCTGGGCACCTCGGTCTCCTTTTCCTCTTTCTCTCTCTCTGGTGGCTATTCCTCCCTCGGAGTGTGGGCTCGGTTTCTCTTCCTCCTTTTTAAAAAATTTGCATTCCTAAAACCTTGAATCCTGAAGTGCCCTTTGCATTGCATACGCGTGTCCTATTTTTTTTTCCCCTTCTAGAAATCTGTGCTCCTTCCCCTCTTTTGCTTCCCTGCTTGCAACACATTTGTGTTTCACAAGGAAGAAGGTGGATGGAGGTCTGGGGAAAAAAGCCTTGTATTTCTGAAGTTCAGCGTGTTAGGAGGTTTCTAAGCTGGGTGTGTCTTTTTTTCGCTTCCCCAGACTTTCTGGTTTTGCGAGGAAATTGCACGTATGTGTTGTGTTGAAGGGGGTGCAGATCTGTACAGGAGAGTGGCTGTAGGGTGCAGATGCGATTGTGTTTAGAGTGCAGTTGCACCCTACTGTCGGGTGCAGCTATGTGGGTAGCTGCAGAGAAAGGTGAAATTGGGAAGAGGATGTAGTTTCTTAGAAAATTCAAGTCTCTCTGAGCGTGTGCAATAATGCATGGTGGTTGTATGTCTAATTTTCTTAATTCTGGAGATTTATGTTCATTCTCCATTTTTCAGGTTGCATCCTAAAGAGCAATTTGGAAGATAAAAATTATCCACATGCATAGGATGTCCCTGTCTCTTTCTTGTGGTGATATGTTCATTTCCCCCTTCTGCAAATTAATTGCCTCTTCAGTGCCATGCATTTTCTAGAGCAGCATGAGAGGCAGTATTTAGGTTTGCACCTTGCTTCCCACACGCGCACACACACCAGGCTATGTCACTCCACCCTTTTGAATCTGCTGAAACAAGGCCTTTAATGTAGCAAGTTGCATAAAAAATAAAATACAGTTTGCAGCATATAATGTTTTTTCTTGCAAACAGACATTCTCAAAATTTTTCCATGGTGTTAAAAGTAAGAGTCAAATACAGATGGGGGGAGGGGGGAGAGGAGAAATTGGATGGATAGGGGTTTTGGATGGTTGGTGAAAGATGCTGAAAGTGGGATACTTTCCCTATACATGTATCAAAAACAAATATTGCGGTTCATATTGTATAGATCAGCGTTTCTCAACCTTTTTTTTAAGTACCCCTTTTAAAAAAAAAAGTACCCCCAGTACCTACAGTTATATTTTTTTAAAGGGGTAATTAAAAAAAAAAAAAAAAAGGTTGAGAAACGCTGATCTTTACAATATGAACTGCAATATTTGTTTTTGATACATGTATAAGTACCCACAGTACCTACAGATTTCAGACACACATTTTTTTTCTACCATCACAGGACATTTATTTACACAACTTAATCGTAGCCAGGCGGGCAATGAAATTTTTGGGTGTAAAAAGTACAAAAATAATAAAGCACTGTAAAATTTAAAAAAATTCAGTTTTCTCCAAATTTCAGTTGTGTTGACGTACCCCCCCCCCAGACTTCTCTTGTGTACCCTTAAGGGTACTCGTACCACTGGTTAAGAAACACTGGTGTAGATTGATATCATGATAAGATTTCCCCATCACCTTGGCTGATTCTAGTTCACGTTGTCTTTCCTAATTCTTGGACTTTGTAAGAAGCTCCAAAAAGATATTACAATCTAATCCTTTTTGGTTTATTCCTCCGCCTCCCCATGCCCTCTTTGCCCGAGCAGCCTCTTGATCCCTCATGGAGAGAGGGATCATCCTGCTGTTGCTAACTTGAACTTAAGTTAATTTGTTCCTCAACTTGGTGTGGGTGGGGTAGGGAAGGATCCTTCCTGCATGTCCCCTCTTGTTCCCCAAAAATGTTGCATCACATTAATGCCTCACAAGATACATCTGTTCTTTTTTGGTTGTGGGTTGAGAAGGAATTTCCATTTTGATATCCTCTTGCAGACAGAGCAAACTTGTTTCAATTTCTCTTCCTGTCTGGACCCCAGCCCAGTGATTTGCTAAGAATGAAATGCAAAAGAAAGGGGTGGATTTTTTTTGTGTGCTTTTGGGTGGTGAGGTTCAAATGAATCACTACCTTCTGCGGAGGTGGTAATGTTCCTGAAGTTTTCTCTTCGACCCATTTTCTACGGTAGTTATACTTGCTGTTAGCTTAAGGCAGATTGTTCAGTTTGCTGCACAGATTCCTTGCTTTTAAAAAAATCTAAGCCTGACAATTTCTTTAGCTACTATTACGACAGAGGAGGGAAGAGGTTTATAAACTTGCTTTAAAACTTGTTTCCTCTAGTCTGAAGTACTTAAGCGGTATAAAGTATTTTGCAAAAGAAAAATTGTTTCCTTTTTTTTTTTATAAAGTGCCAACATTTAATTATTTGAAATATTTGGAAAACTTGTTAGGGCCATTCTCGCACCTAATATTTTACTTTGAAATTTAAGTCCCTTGTAAGTGAAGTGCTCTATGTTTTAGAGGGCACTGAAGTTTTTATATTAAAAAAGTGTTGTGAAATATACCAGCTGTTGCTCATTTTTAACATAACGTAGTTTTATTAACACTAGCCGTGCTTGTTTTGATAGTTCTGTGAGTTTTTTCATCAGTTACAAAGAGCAACTTTTGTCATTCTATCATTACTGTTGACAGATGTTGCTTTAAATATTGGGCAAATCACGGGCAAAAGCATTGTCAGGGCGGGGAGGCGGTGGGTGGTGGAGTTGCAGAGAGACAGTTTGTAATCAAGTTTTGGAACCTATGTCTTTGCATAAGAAATTTTGATTGTTGTAGGTGTGTCCAGTACTGACTAAATTGTGTCACTTGCCAGCGGTGGCTACCATCTCCGTTTACTGGAATAAATTATTTGTTTTGCTTTCTCTAGGAGCTGGAGGAGGAGGGAATGACATTCAGTGGTGTTTTTCTCAGGTGAAAGGGGCTGTAGATGATGATGTAGCAGAAGGTAAGAACAAACTTCTTCACAGTGACTACATCTGATTGCTGTTGGTTAAACTTAGCAAGGGTGTTGCTGAAGTATTTCCTCCAAAACTGGGTTTTACTGAACGTCATTTTAGCCAAATCAGTAGTGCCACAAGACCACTCATTGTTTTTGAAGTTATGGACTGACATGGCTACCCCTCTGAGATAATTTTAGCGAAGTAGGAAAGCAAGTAGAAACATTGTCATTCCAGTATATTCTGGGATCCGATTTGTATATGGTAGAAGTGCAATTCAGCTGATATCCCTGGTCCTCCTGCTGTTTGTTAGAATTGAATTTGCCCCATAGATTGCAACACTAGTTAACTTGTTTTCCAAAATATCTGTCACATGACACGTAATGGCCATTGAGACTGAGGGACTAACTTGTCTGTTTTCCCCATCAGTGAAATGGGAATAATGATATTTTTCATAAATTCTCGCAACAACCCTCTAAAGAATGTTTGCACAGCACCTTGAAGATGTAATGTATCTGACACTATGCAAAACATCTCCCAGTCTTTCCATGCTGACTTATAAATCAGAATTACAAGCTTTTTTTGTACAAGCTTTTCAAGTATCAGTTATTTTTCATGATGAATTATTAGTGGAAACTGCCTCTACACTTTCGTAGTATAAGGTTCCTGTTAGGGATGTGAATGTGTACATGGTTAATCCATGAGCCTGGGCTCATGAGTTAACATGCACAGTTACACACAGTCCTTCCCCTCACCTGTCGCGGCTGCATAGGTGGGGTGGCGAGAGCTGGTGCATGCAGGGAGCTGGCTTTTAAACTGGCTCTCCGTGTGTACCAGCTCCCACAGAGCCGCCTCCCTGTGCATGTACCCGCTCCCATGGAGCCATCTGCCTCTGAAATATCTGGAAATGGTGCTCTTCAAAAGTTTTGTGTGATGCTTAGCAACTGAAAGGCTTTAGAAACAAATAGGTTGTAACAGATTTCAATAACTTCTAATATATTTTGCCTAAGATGGATATATTTTAAATTGTTCAGCAATTAGCATTCAAGATTGAATGTTAATGGCAATTTAGATAATGGTTGTATAGTTTTTTTCCTACCAGACTTCAATTTTTATGGATTTTGTTTGGTATTCTGTAGCTACCTGGCTTTTGAATTAAATGTAAACAATTGAGGAAATCTTGACTCTGCCTATTTTCCACTGATAGATGAATCCTATGAACAGGACGGAAGAATATTAGAGCTTTTCCTTTTATGTTCAGGCATCTGTTCCGTTACATATAGTAATGGGTGGTAGTTGTTAATAAGGTTTTTATGGGGGTGAATTTTTGTGTTCCGTGTGTGGGTGTGGTGGGATTTTTTTTTGTATTGTAGTAAACAGCTGTGATTAAATGGCTCTTCCAAAGATCTGGAAATCCAAGAGCCAGACTTATTTCTTAATTTCCCCTCTTGGTTCTTAAATATTATAGTTCCTACACTGAGTATGAAAGATGATTTAACTTCCTGACAGCTGCAATAGCTAGCCACAATACCTTAACTCAGGGTTTCCCAAACTTTCTCAGCCAGGGAGCCTCCATGGGTCCTGAAAATTTTGTGGAGCCTTAAAATTTAATGATTTTTAATTTAATAGGTACCCAGATAGACAGACAAAGTTTAGAAATTCTGATTTTATTTCTTGTTTATTTCTTAATTTTCTGAAGGGGGGGGGGAATATATATCAGAAAATTAGTGACAAAATAACAGGGTCATACAATTGTTGTTAATATTTTCTCAAGCAGCTGCTGGACCCCAGGGCTCCACAGAGCACACTTTGGGAAACCCTGCCCTAACTAGCTTGCATTTCAACATGACTGTGTTGCTTTTAACAAATTTTTGTATAAATATCTGGTTTTAATTGTAAAAAGGATCTGAGTTGCTCATTGTGCAAGCTTTTTCTAGATAGAGACAAGAGTATGACTTCATAGTCAGCTTATATCATCTTTTTGGAAAGGCTTTTTTAGTGTTCAATGGGGGAGAAGAAGACTGGGATTTTGAAGACAGGGATTTTTTGTAGTCGAGATGTACACTGGAATAGCTGCCTAAGTAAGGTCCTAGGAAAATTAAATGGGGCTAACAGACCATAGTGGATTTTGTTGAGTGGGAATTTTTACCCATATGGATGACTCTGATATAGCATTATGAAAACCCTTACAGAACAACTGAAAGATGTCTGTCCATCTAATCAAACAGTTACTTAAGCTCCCACCCAACTATTTAAAGGTACTCGTATACTGGAGATGTCTCTTATCCTTGAAATACTGTTCCAGTAGCTTAAACCCTGTGTTTAATTGCATTTCTTAAGTTTATTTCCTTGCATTTGAGGTAGTACTACCTATGTACTCAGGAAACACATGTTCTAATCATCTTCTTTATGAATTTGGGACTACCATTTGACATTTCTGGTATTGTATAGTGTCTCCTTTAAATTGCATAGAAAGAAGTACAGGCAGTCCCCGACTTACGCGGATCAGACTTATGTCGGATCCGCACTTACGAACGGGGCTTTTCTCGCCCCAGAGCTCGCGGGCGGCGGGACCGCCCAGAGCGCAGCCGTCCTGCCACCGCGTCCTCCGGGGCGAGAAAAGCTGCTCCGGGTCTCCCTGGTGTGCTGGGGGGGACTCCCCAGCACAGCAGGGAGACCCGAGCAAAGCCGCACAGGCAGCGGGACCCCGCTACCCATGCGGCTTTGCTCCTTTGCCCCGGAGCAAAGCCGCAGAGGCGGCGGGACCTCTGCGCCTCCGCGGCTTTGCTCGGGTCTCCCTGGTCTGTTGGGGGGGGGGAGGCGGCGCAGCTAGTGCGCCC